CTTTTACCACTTTGTTGGGATATTATGATTTCTTATTATCAGTAAAAAAATATCAATTTACCAAAGATATTAAGATTACTTTTGGGTTTTTCCTATTTAATTTATCATCATATAGGAAACATAAATATGGATATAATTATAACCAAACACCTCCTAGTCATCATTATGACAATAAAAAATGATTCAATAATAAAAATAGTATTTTCATGCATAAACAAATTCAACGCCCAATTTGAAGTCACGGGGGCTAAGTATTTTTAGATTTTTGAATATAATATACTTGGAGGACAGGTAATCTAAACAAAAAAGACTTTTATGTAAAGTAAAGAAATCATAAAAAATTACCATTTAATTATGCTGTATATATACATCTTCTTCTTGGTTTCCTTCGGACTCAACTTCTTCTCTGCCACCGAATCAGACGAAGGGTGGACGACACAAGGAGGTAAGAGAAAAGGACACATCTCATCGTCATGACGTCTTCTTGATGATGATTTGGTATGGTTGTGCATCTGAAACAGTGCGATGGAAGAAGTGCGCGCGAGGATCAATTCGATTTTGGAAGAGCAAGCAACTCTTGAACGAGTGAGTTGTTTCTTCTTGTTCTATAGGATGTCTTTCGATGTTCTTGATGAGGCTAATGGTTCCTCCTCAGGAACTAGAAGCGTGCATAAGTCGACTTGAGATTCTGAGAGAAAGGAACTCCATGCTCAAAGAAGAGGTTGGTGGATTCTTCCTTCTTCTTTCTTCCCTTCTTGGTTACCTTTTTCTCTTCCTTTTCCGAAAAGGACTCACCTTCGCCGAAATCTCCCTTCAGCTGGCAAAGGCGGCTGCTGATCGCCGTGCACCTGGAACTCCATCTCCGCCAGCCACCGACAGCCGCGTCGGCTCGACAACCGCGTCCGGCCAGCAAATGCAAAGCGCGGGACTGCAAGGTGGCGCCAAGAATGGGGAGGAAGCGCAGGAGGGAGATAGATGAGATGCAGGGGAGAAGAAGATGCATGAAAGCAAGAACACTTCAAGTAATGCAGCCAAAGGAAGTAGCAGAACTGATTCATACCAATAGGTTGTAATCTTCCAGCAATTGTCTCAACATAGCAAAGGTGTCAACGCCTTGGATTTCTAAACTGTCAGAGACGAAACGTACTGCATTACCAAGTGTTCTTGTTTTTGCTGGTATGAGGCTTCTTGGAAGACAAACTTTGAACCAAACTAGTCAAACGATTGTTCTTGTTTTTGCTGGTGTGAGGCTTCTTGAAAGACAAACTTTGAACTAAAGTAGTCAAACAACTGTTATTGTTTTTGTTGGTGTGAAGCTTCTTGAAAGACAAATTTGATCCAAAGTAGTCAAACAACTGTTATTGTTTTTGTTGGTGTGAGACTTCTTGAAAGACAAATTTGATCCAAAGCAGTCAAACAACTGTTCTTGTTTTTGTTGGTGTGAGGCTTCTTGAAAGACAAATTTGATCCAAAGTAGTCAAGACTATCACCAGAAATTACTTAAAGCTATCGAATTACTCCATGTTGAGATTTACTTGGACAACACATTACTCTAATGCCATGTCGAGATTTTTAATCAGATGTCAGAACAGCTATATATACATAGAGATTAAACAGCTATATATAGACATTGCTGATATTGAGTTGACACTCATATAGACATCATTGATGTATCGAATTAACAAGGTGTGTGTCTAACGATAGATGTGATATGACAGCACATTATCCACATGTTAATTCAAAGCATTATTTGACCAAAGCAAAGACTATATCATAGCAGCCCATTTACCTCAACCTAAATCCTAATAAGACTCGCATTAGGACAACCCACACACAAATAGGGGCGGCCACCAAGTAAGGAGAGTACAACAATCCTATAAGAAAAGTACTAGTTGGACATGACCTATAAGAAAAGTCCTTAAACACTAAATACTTGAGGCAGACTATACCCTATAAAATAAGAATGTGCCCCCATCTAAGGGTATCTCAAAAGCATTCAAGTCGTGCCCCCTTTTGAGAAGCCAATCGGCCCTAAGCCGAGAGGAGAAGAGAGAGAGGAAGCGGTTTGCAAGTTCTGCAGTCCTTCTTGTCTACAACCACATTACTATAGAGATATTTTCCAACTTGTTGTCAACCTTAATAGCATCTAAAAAGGCCTTTAGCAATAGCAAGAAGAAGAAGAAGAAGAGCCAAGAGACAACCAAGAAGTCCCACAGCCAGCCCTAGTTCCAGCTTGCGCCAAGAGTCGAGAGAAGAGGAGTTTCGAAAAGGATTTTGCCCTCCAGTCACAGCCCCTTCCTCCTCAAGAATCCTTACTCTAATGCCATGTAAGGATTCTTGAAAGACAAATGTGAACTAAAGTAGTCAAGCCTATCACCAGAAAACACTTGGAGCTAACTACTAGTAATGTAACTATATACCGCCACAAGTAATGTTACAAGACTGGTCGATTACTATGGATCATCACAAGTAACTACTATAATATTGTGGGACGTTGTATTTTGAATCCTTCTGCTGTCTCAAAAGCCATATCAAAACACAAATTTTAGAATTTCCAAAAGCCATTACCAACTCCTGTTCAGGCACATAAGAAGCTCCCTAGATAACTAAGCAAAAAGACTCGATAAATGTCCCTGATGCTCCAATAATAATCCACTTAAAACAAAATGCAGTAGCATGCAATCGCACGTAATCCAAGTTAAACACATGTTACAAACCTGCCACAGAGATTAGGAGTTTGGCAGAGGGATTGGTGTATCTTAATCCAAGATGCAAGCAAACTTTACATTCGTATTCATAGTCCCCACGAGAACACAAGACAGGGGCTCTTCACTGTGTGAGCAACTTGGAGTCGCAAGCCACAATCTTCACTCTCTTGACTTGGTCGTGGCAGTCCTCACTTTTGAAAACTGCATCTTGCAAGATGAATGTCCACACGTTGTCACAGAACCTATAGGTATGCAGATGACCCTGTAGAACAGTCTTGAGAAAATAAGGTTTCTTGATTACCAGGTTTAATCAGAAAAAACGGCAAAAATTAAACATGAGGGCATGATAATGGTTTGATTTTATTCTATTAACATCCGTAATATTGGTCTAGCAGTGGGAGCTTATATATTGAGCAGAGAATAGGGAAGCCAACCATGGGCATACTTGGCATCTATCATGGGATTTGGATAGCAGAAAGTGCAGTATGGGCATGAGATAACACACAGCCGATTATAATATCAATAAACTACAGAATATTACTTAAGGGTCAAAATAACCACCTAATGATCGGATAGCTCTAAATGAAATAAATCTTCACATGATTAAAGGAACTGATGGACCTGAAAGATTGATAAGGGAAAAAAAAGGAAACTTCAGGCTTAAGAGGCAAGCAGTTGTCCATACAAAGCAAAACTGCAGGATAGGAACTCCCCTTTCAATAGCTCCATATGCATAATTTAGTTAATCCAGATAAGATCAGAAATAAAATATTTCTTTTACCACTTAACTACAATAATTTAGTGCAGAATTGGAGTATTGCATATTGCATGAGTGCAGGTGCACAGTGACCTACAGTATCTGCAGACAAGATGAGAATAGTTGGTACTCATGACACACAACAGTATGTTCAGTCAGTCAAACTTTCCATTCTGGTAGACTTGAATAAGCAAGATCAACTCATCTTCAGAAAAAATAATGCACATTTCAGAAATTTAGAAGGAAAGAAAAGTTCTTAACTAGTAGAAAACAGAAAGTCCTGAAAACAAGGTTTAGCAGCAAATCAGTTGATTCATTATATGTGCTGAATACATGCATATACCACATAGACAATTATTGAACCATATATATAAATTACCCAGAGATAAGCTCAAAATAAGAGAGAATGTAATCAAGTAGAAAGATTGTTTCTTAGTCTCAAACAACCTCGGAATAAAAGATACAAGAGAGTACAGGGTAAAAGGACTTGACGGGTTAATTTAACAATTACCATTGATCTAGAATTTTTCATGGGATTTTAGAGTGTCAACTTAAAATACAAAAGTAATGTCATGAAGTGATCAAGGGGAACAAATGTCTGACTCCTAAAACATTTCAACAAACTAAACACATCAAACACGTAGAGAGAGTATGATATCATAAACACACCAATCCTTTGGGTTAATGCTTCTTTAAAAGGTTCATGCTCAAGTTTCAGATGCTAAGATAATCAAAGAAGCAATCAGTGGCAATGGTTTCAGGTGCTCACACAGACTAAAACCCTATTTGACCCCAAAAAGCTATGCTTCATCTGCTATTTAAGGCCCAAGATTTGACTGAAGTCGAAGCACAGAAAGTAACGTACATATCAGCCTGAGCCTCGTCTACTATTTCTCATTAATCACACAAGTTCAAGTCTAAGTGATGCCTGAACAGAGAGAATGAAAGCTATGTGATTTCATCAATATGTCCAAGAAGGTTCAGATTTCTTTTGGAAGAGTCCAGAGTCAGACCCAGTCCAGGATATTGGACTTTTTATGGGAATGGCATGACTGGGCGTGCAACATGCCAAGTTCAATTTTGGTCGAAGTTGAATAAAAAAAGAAAAAGATTCATGACTTGCTCTTGTATTCTTATGACAATTCTTTTAGTAATATTTTCTAATCCACAAATATATAACTAATATAAAAAATTACAGAAGAATACCTTTAGTAATGAAATTTGTGTAAATATTCATTCAGTGATTTAAATGACACAACATGCAATTAAAATATTTAAATGACTAGAATGATCCAGAGGCATATGTGCTCACAAGCATGGAGAACAACCAATTCTGGATGATGATGATTAGCATGGTCCAGAGGCATATATGATCACAAGCACGGATTGCCTTACTGAGGGAATAACCAATTCTGGATGATGACTAGCACAATCCAGAGGCAATAAATTAGCAATGAAGATATATGATCACATGCACATATTGCCTTACTCAGAGAGAACCAATTTGCACAGCATGTATTGGCAAAAAGAAAAGAGATACTTGATGCTTAGTGAGGCTGGAAGAAAGAAAATCCCTAGAGCTACTTGATGCTTCTTTCAATGAGAATGAGAGGCGTAAAGTTTGCTAGGGTAGCAGTACACTTCCCCAAGTTGATTGTTGAAAAGGTTCGTAGTATTCTTAAAAAAGATGCTTCTAGTTTGCTTCAACATTCACAACTATATTTAATGCAATTTTGCTGTTCAATCGGAAGAAAGGACAAACTTCAAGTCAATTAGTATCTTTCATCCATCAAAATTTATCTGTTGGAAATTTTAGGTTGAGTAATAGAATGTGAATCATGCATAATTTGTTTCAATAAAAAATTGTTAAAAACAGATGAAGGTTCAGCAGCAAAAGCATTTGGAATGAGAAATGATATTTCCTCGATATAATATTAAACTGGTCTTCGTAAGACCCTTGGCCACAAATTAAGTTCCTTTGGTCCCTATTCGTCGCAATTAACTGAATCAAGGCATTGGCCTAATGGTTGACATCCAATTTATTTTGAAAGATTTTGGGTTCAAATACTTGTAATGGTGATGTCGAAGAATTTGAGCTATATAATTTTATAGCTTGAGATCCATCTACCACTCTCCAGTATTAAAATGAAACACAGAAACTCATGAGTCAAGACCTCAGACAGATGTCACACTTAATATTTAGTGAGATAATAACACATTGGTCGTATGACATGTTGACACTAAAAGATTAAAGACAAAACTATTGTTAGAAGAATCAACTGTTGTCAATGTTAAATTAAAATATGAAAAAAAAATTAATTTTAAAGAAGCAACAAAAGTAAAAGAGGCAATCAGAGGCACAAGTGAACTGGATATACATGACAAAGAATATGCCTAATAGCAAAAGTTTACCTTAATCGAAACCTTGCTCTTGACTTGCGTCTCCAAGGCATCTGTCATAGACTGTGAGGAGAACAAATTCAAAGGAAAAAGAACTTAAAAGCATGACTGCTAAAATCTCCAAAAGAAAATTTTCCAGGGTTTAACTTAAATTTACCTTATCAAACTGCATAAGGACTTGGATAGCTAGCTCCGGGCTCAACGTACCGCTGGAAACCATCTCATCTAGGGTTTCTGTCAAGCACATGCCAATGGAGGACCTTCGGTACAATTCAAATGTGGCCATGGCCTATTCTAGCACTCCAATTAGCAAAAGTTATTTAGTAACAAAAGCTCAGGATTTCAAAACAAAGAAAAGCAAAAAGGCAACAATAAACAACTAGAAACAAAGAATGGGCTGGTATATTTTATTTTTTCTATTAAGTGGAGGTAGCAACTCTTTAACATATTAGAAATTGAACCGTAGCAGAAGATTAACATCATAAATAACAATAATAAAAACCACTAGAAAGACTTGACACCAAAAGGATGCTTTATATAATAAATGAGGGCTTCGGAATAACGACCAGCTCAAGAAGAAAAGTGAAAAGTGTAAGAAAGAAAGGGGGAAGTAGATATCACACTTCCCTATGCCATGAAAGAGGCATTGACATAACAGCAAGCAAATGTTTAAAACAGCAACCCAATTAGTAGACAATGTCAATTAGGAAAAGTTTTTCTAAATACATCTTTGATATAGTTGAAGCATATTCCCAGAGCAAAGCCCGTCAGAGCATAATTACTTGCCGAATCAAGTAAGAAAGATATGCTCTTTCATCCAAAGAATAAACAGAAGAACGAATCCCCTTTTACATGGTAAAGTAGGATGGAGATAAAGACATGCATGAAACAAGCAACAGATCTTTGGTCTTCTAGACAATAAAAACAAAAAAAATATTTGTGTTTTATCTTCTGTTTTACAGAACATGTTTGGCAGTCACATCTTCATAACATGGACAGGCACAACCTAGAGCTTCTATCTTTAATCTCCTTGTGCATACATGAATTATGTTTCAACAATCGTTATGTGCACATTAGGCATTTGTAAATCAAGAAGCCAAGCAAATCCAGTTATAAAAATTTAAGTGACTAATAAAGATCTATGATGGACATTTTACAATGCAGACACCTGCAATTTTGAGTTTAGAATGGCAAATAAATTAGAGAACATCGTATCAATAATGTCATAAAACCATACCAGTTCTAAAAATGTAACCACACTTAAGTTTAAACATCACAGAGCATATACAACCATGGGGTTTACTGAATATGAGTAGGTGAAAATACTTGTTTGAATTGGCACTTACTCCATCATGATTACAAGCATCATGATCAAAATTATGTAAAGAAAGCTAGATAATATAAAATCTTCATCCTTCAATATACCATGTGCTTCGTCCTCTAAAAACCACTCATAAGCCTCCAGTCATCACATGTCAAAAAAGAAACTAAATAATGGCAAACCAATCAGAGACTTGAATACAATAAGGATCGCGTTTTCTGCGAATGAAGTATCACATGCCACGATCTCTCAGCAAAGACTAACTCTATCGAGTCTAAAAAGAAACCGTAATTAACATTCAAGTACTCGAACAACACAAAGAACCACAAATCAAACGCTACAACCGAGACAACATCCCAAACCCATCAAATCAAAGCAAAGTTGGCTTTTTTCGGTTCATCCAAATCGAACCAACGCCAAACCAAAATCCACGAACAAAGGAAACAAAATAAGAACTAAAACAAGGGGCTTCGGTTCCCGCGGGTAAGACGGAGGAAAAGGGAGAAGAAACGGAAGGAAATGACCTCGGATCGCGATATCTCGAGCTAAAACTCGAATGCCGAAACCCTAATCGCCTCAGGACGAGGACGAGGCCGGATTCCCAGGGGCTTGGGGCGATGGTCAAAGAGAGCTCGGCACGAGGGCGAGCTCGAAGAAGGAGAGGAAGAGAGGAACGCAGCGAGAGATCGGCGTCCAACGGGGGATTTCAAATGGAGGATTATATAAGCGATGGCATCGGAGAGGAAGATATATACATAGAGAGAAAAGGGACGGCTGGAGGGACTCTTTAATTTCATTGTTCGCACACTAAATCTGTGCGGTGGGAAGATCCACCGTCCGTTTGATCAATCTAATGGATCCTGGCCGTCCGAGCTCAGTGATGCGATCATGCGTGGCTCTTGGACGCATGACTGCGACCCCGAGTCGGCCCGGGTCGACTCTGTAGCAGTGCTGCAAACTCGGACGAGTAGGTCGATTCGAATCGGGCGTCAGGTTATTGTGGACAACAAAAGCTATAAATACAAACCACAAGTCAAACTGGGTTTAAACATTTGCAACGAGTTCTCTATAACGGCTTTGGTGGCCGCATGGTTTCCATAAGAATCGTTGTCTTGGTGTATGCAAAATGCTTGGAATGAATATACCTTTGTCATCGGCCCGTCCAACTCCGATGACCACTGCGCATGCCCACCGTTGTGGTGGCGCAGGCGGTGATGACGATGTCAACGATCCGTCCCGCCGCAAGCAGAGCACACAGTCGACACCGACCCCGTATTCCCGGCGGAGGAGGAAGTCGAAAAAGATGGCGTTGGTATTCCACCTACGCAAGCGCCAAGGAACAACAGACAAGCGCCAAGGAAGTACGAAGGGGCGGCTCCAGGAGGAAAGCACAACAGACAAGGAGAAGCAGTGGGAAGACGAATTGGACCGGGGAACAGGCGAACAAGGAGGAGGAGGAGGGAGAAGAAGGTGCCGCGGAGGCACCAACGGCGTCAGGAGGAGCGGTCGAGGGGACTCGGGAAGCATAATACTAGCAATAGTATCATATAATCCTAATAATTGATTTGATGAAAATGAAATGAGTTATAATACTTGATAATCGATTAAATATAAAAAAATATATTTTATTTTAAAATTATAAAAATTATATATAAAGATTTATACAAATATTTTAAAACTATATACTTTGTGGATTGATTTAACGAAAAATATCTTGATTACACTCGAGCGAGGTATATTCATTCACCGTCCGAATGGATCCGAAATGAATCGACTCATGAATTTGTGACTTGAAATAGTCTGATTATAATAAAAAAAAATTAAAATTAAAAAAAAATATATATATCTCTTGATAAAATCAAATATAAGGGTGCTACAAAGATAAAACTCATTACTAAGAATTTTTATTTTTCTTTGGTAAATTGCCCCATTACTGTTACAGACCAATATCATCGATCATCGTTAGGAAAGTGGGAGGTCTATCAATGGATTTCCTAACAGACATCGACCCGCAAATAATCTCGCTCTGGGAATTGCCAATACCTAAATGCAGTGAACTTAATTGTTGATGACAGACTGGTTTTGCTTGTGCTATCATGTGGATTGCGATGACGGATGGGATAGCTTCATACTGAAACTACTTGTTGAGTTGGAAGTATGTGTTACAGAGATGAACCAAATGTTCCTCTCAGGTGACCACATTGACCTAAATTTCTTGTGATAATTAAATCACGACATTTTTGTATGAAATTATTCAGGTTTCATCGGAAACCTACCTTTTCTTAGATTTTATATCAAGATATGGAACTGAGGTTAGAGTCATCAAGTTGGAACTCATGACAAAATGTCGAACCCACAAAACATCCATGCAAGAGTATGATTCAGGTTTAGAGTTTAAAACACAGATTTTACACACAAAAAAAAAGAGCTATCTCAAACTATGTAATGAAACTACCATATACTGCCACAAGTAATGTTACAAGATGACAAGTGGATTACTACGATCATCACAAGTAACTACTAGAATATTGTGCGCCATTGTATTTTGAGTCCTTTTTGTACTGTGTCTCAAAAGCCATATCAAAACACACATTTTGGAATTTCCAAAAGCCATTAGCAACTCCTGTTCATGCACATAATAAGCTCCCTAGATAACTAAGCAAAAAGACTCCAAAAATGTCCCTGATGCTCCAATAATAATCCACCAAAATGCAGTAGCATGCAATCGCACGTAATTCAAGTTAAATACATGTTACAAACCTGCCACAGAGATTAGGAGTTTGGCAGAGGGATTGGTGTATCTTAATCCAAGATGCAAGCAAACTTTACATTCGTACTCATAGTCCCCACGAGAACACAAGACAGGGGCTCTTCACTGTGTGAGCAACTTGGAGTCACAAGCCACAATCTTCACTCTCTTGACTTGGTCGTGGCAGTCCTCGCTTTTGAAAACTGCATCTTGCAAGATGAATGTCCACACATTGTCACAGAACCTATAAGTGTGCAGATGACCCTGTAGAACAGTCTTGAGAAAATAAGGTTTCTTGATTACCAGGTTTAATCAGAAAAAAAAAAAAAGGAAAAACTTAAACATGAGGGCATGATAATGGTTTGACTTTATTCTATAACTTGCATAATATTGGTCTAACAGTGGGAGCTTAAATCTTGACCAGAGAATAGAGAGGCCAACTATGGGCATACTTGGCATCTATCATGGGATTTGGATAAGTAGAAAGCACAGAATAGGCATGAGATAACACATAGCCGACTATAATGTCAATAAACTACAGAATATTACTTAACGGTCAAAATAACCACCTATGATCGGATAGCTCTAAATGAAATAAATCTTCACATGATAAAAGGGACTGATGGACCTGAAAGATTGATAAGGGAAAAAAGGAAACTTCAGGTTTAAGAGGTAAGCAGTAGTACATATACAGCAAAATCTGCAGGATGGGAACTCCCATTTCAATAGCTCCATATGCATAATTTAGTAAAGCCAGATAAGATCAGAACTAAAATATGTCTTTTACCACTTAACTAGGATGATTTAGTCCAGAATTGGAGTATTGCATATTGCATGAGTGCAGGTGCACAGTGAACTACAGTATATGCAGACATGATGAAAATAGTTGGTACTCATGACACACAACAGGCTGTTAAGTCAGTCAAAGTTTCCAGTCTGGTGGACTTGAATAAGCGAGATCAACTCATCTTCAGAAAAAACCATGCACATTTCAGAAATTTAGAAGGAAAGAAAAGTTCTTAACTAGTAGAAAACAGAATGTCCTGGAAACAAGGTTTAGCAGGAAATCTGTTGATTCATTATATGCGCTAAATGCATGCATATACCACATAGACAACTAGTGAACCATATATATAAATTACCCACAGATAAGCATAAAACAAGAGACAGAATGTCCTCAAGTACAACAACTTTGGTCCAATAACAATGATATATATGTATACACATACACACACACATCATTGTCACCAAACAAACAAAAAGTCACTTACCTAATGATATTTCATTTCCAAATTGTTAATAAAATGAAGAAAGATTGTTTCTCAGCCTCAGACAACCTAGGGATAAAAGATACAAGAGAGTACAGGGTACAAGGACTTGACGGGTCAATTTATCAATTACCTTTGATCTAGAATTTATCATGGGATTTTATAGTGTCAGCTTAAAATACAAAAGTAACGTCATAAAGTGATCCGGATGAACAAATGTATGACTCCTAAAACATGTCAACAAACTACACACACCAAACACGTACAGAGAGTATCATATCATAAATACACCAATCCTTTGATTTAATGCTACTTTAAAAGGTTCACACTCAAGTTTCAGATGCTAAGATAATCAAAGAAGCAATCAGCGGCAATGGTTTCAGGTGCTCACACAGACTAAAACCCTATTTGACCCCAAAAAGCTATGCTTCATCTGCTATTTAAGGCCCAAGATTTGACTGAAGTCGAAGCACAGAAAGTAACGTACATATCAGCCTGAGCCTCGTCTACTATTTCTCATTAATCACACAAGTTCAAGTCCAAGCGATGCCTGAACAGAGAGAATGAAAGCTATGTGATTTGATGAATATGTCCAAGAAGGTTCAGATTTCTTTTGGAAGAGTCCAGAGTCAGACCCAGTCCAGGATATTGGACTTTTTATGGGAATGGCATGACTGGGCGTGCAACATGCCAAGTTCAATTTTGGTAGAAGTTGAATGAAAAAAGAAAAAGATTCATGACTTGCTCTTGTATTCTTATGACAATTCTTTTAGTAATATTTTCTAATCCACAAATATATAACTAATATAACAAATTACAGAAGAATACCTTTAGTAATGAAATTTGTGTAAATATTCATTCAGTGATTTAAATGACACAACTAGCAAAATGACTAGAATGAGATCACAACCGCTGATCGCCTTACTGGGGGAACAATCAATCTTGCAAATGACTAGAATGATCCAGAGGCATATGTGCTCACAAGCATGGAGAACAACCAATTCTGGATGATGATGACTAGCATGGTCCAGAGGCATATATGATCACAAGCACGGATTGCCTTACTGAGGGAATAACCAATTCTGGATGATGACTAGCATAATCCAGAGGCAATAAATTAGCAATGAAGATATGTGATCACATGCACATATTGCCTTACTCGGAGAGAACCAATTTGCACAGCATCTATTGGCAAAAAGAAAAGAGATACTTGATGTTTAGAGAGGCTGGAAGAAAGAAAATCCCTAGAAATACTTGATGCTTCTTTCAATGAGAATGAGAGGCGTAAAGTTTGCTAGGGTAGCAGTACACTTCCCTAAGTTGATTGTTGAAAAGATTCTTAGTATTCTTAAAAAAGATGCTTCTAGTTTGCTTCAACATTTACAACTATATTTAATGCAATTTTTCTGTTCAATCGGAAGAAAGGACAAGCTTCAAGTCAATTAGTATCTTTTATTCATCAAAATTTATCTGTTGGAAATTTTAGGTTGAGTAATAGAATGTGAATCTTGCATAATTTGTTTCAATAAAAAATTGTTAACAACAGATGAAGCTTCAGCAGCAAATGCATTTGGAATGAGAAACGAATTTCCTTGATATAATATTAAACTGGTCTTCGAAAGACCCTTGGCCACATATTAAGTTCCTTTGGTCCCTATTCGTCACAATTAACTGAATCAAGGCATTGGCCTAATGGTTGACATTCAATTTATTTTGAAAGATTTTGGGTTCAAATACTTGTAATGGTGATGTCGAAGAATTTGAGCCATATAATTTTACAGCTTGAGATCCATCTACCACTCTCCAGTATTAAAATGAAACACAGAAACTCATGAGTCAAGGCCTCAGACAGACGTCACACTTAATATTTAGTGAGATAATAAAACATTGGTCGTATGACATGTTGATACTAAAAGGTTAAAGACAAAACTATTGTTAGAAGAATCAATAGTTGTCAATGTTAAATTAAAATATTAAATAAAAATGAATTTTAAAGAAGCAACAAAAGTAAAAGAGGCAATCAGAGGCACAAGTGAACTGGATATACATGACAAAGAATATGCCTAATAGCAAAAGTTTACCTTAATCGAAACCTTGCTCTTGACTTGCGTCTCCAAGGCATCTGTCATAGACTGTGAGGAGAACAAATTCAAAGGAAAAAGAACTTAAAAGCATGACTGCTAAAATCTCCAAAAGAAATTTGTCCAGGGTTTAAATTAAATTTACCTTATCAAACTGCATAAGGACTTGGATAGCTAGCTCCGGGCTCAACGTACCGCCGGAAACCATCTCATCTAGGGTTTCTGTCAAGCACATGCCAATGGAGGACCTTCGGTACAATTCAAATGTGGCCATGGCCTATTCTAGCACTCCAATTAGCAAAATTTATTTAGTAACAAAAGCTCAGGATTTCAAAACAAAGAAAAGCAAAAAGGCAACAATAACAACTAGAAACAAAGAATAGGTTGGTATATTTTATTTTTTCTAGCCAATTCTAGCACTCCGATTAGCAAAGGTTATTTAGCAACAAAAGCTCAGGAATTCAAAACAAAGAAAAGCAAAAAGGCAACAATAAACAACTAGAAATAAAGAATAGGTTGTTATATTTTATTTTTTCTATTAAGTGGAGGCAGCAACTCTTTAACATATTAGAAATTGACCTGTAGCAGAATATTAACATCATAAATAACCATAATAAAAACCACTGAGACTTGACAAAAAAAGGATGCTTTATATAATAAATGAGGGCTTCGGAATAACTACCAGCTCAAGAAGGAAAAGTGATAAAAGTGTAAGAAAGAGATGGGGAAGTAGATATTGCACTTCCCTATGCCATGAAAGAGGCATTGACATAATGTCAAGCAAATGTTTAAAACAGCAACCCAATTAGTAGACAATGTCAATTAGGAAAAGTTCTTCTAAATATATATTTGATATAGTTGAAGAATATTCCCAGAGCAAAGCCCGTCATAGCATAATTACTTGCCGAATCATGTAAGAAAGATATGCTCTTTCATCCAAAGAATAAACAGAAGAACAAAACCCCTTTTACATGGTAAAGTGGGATGGAGATAAAAACATGCATGAAACAAGTAATAAAACCTTGGTCTTCTTGACACTAAAAACAAAAAAAATATGTGTTTTATCTTCTGTTTTACAGAACATGTTTGGCAGTCACATCTTCATAACAAGGACAAGCACAACCTAGAGCTTCAATCTTTAATCTCCTTGTGCATACACGAATTATGTTTCAACAATCGTTAAGTACACATTAGGAATTTGTAAATCAAGAGGACAAGCAAATCCAGTTATAAAAATTGAAGTGATTAATAAAGATCTATGATGGACATTTTACAATGCAGACACCTGCAATTTTGAGCTTCTAATGACAATTAGATAACAGATCATCGTATACATAATGTCATAAAACCATACCAGTTCTAAAAATGTAACCACACCTAAGTTTAGACATCACAGAGCATATACAACCATAGGGTTTACTGAATATGAATAGGTGAAAATACTTAGTTTGAAGTGGCACTTACTCCATCATGATTACAAGCATCACGATCAAAAATATGTAAAGAAAGCTAGATAATATAAAATCTTCATCCTTCAATATACCATGTGCTTCGTCCTCTAAAAACCACTCACAAGCCTCCAGTCATCACATGTCAAAATAGTAACCAAATAATGGCAAACCAATCAGAGACTTGAATATAATAAGGATCGCGTTTTTTGCGAATGAAGTATCACATGCCATGATCTCGCAGCAAAGACTAACTCTATCGAGTCTAAAAAGAAACCGTAATTAACATTCAAGTAGTCGAACAACACAAAGAACCACAAATCAAACGCTACAACCGAGACATCTTCCCAAACCCATCAAATCAAAGCATAGTTGGCTTTTTTTGGGTCATCCAGATCGAACTAACGCCAAACCAAAATCCACGACCAAAAAAAACAAAATAAGAACTTAAACAAGGGGCTTCGGTTCCCGCGGGTAAGACGGACGAAAAGGGAGAAGAAAAGGAAGGAAACGACCTCGGATCGCGAGATCTCGGGCTAAAACTCGAATGTCGAAACCCTAATCGCCTCTGGACGAGGACGGTGGCGGATTCCCAAGGGCCTGGGGCGATGGTCAAATAGAGCTCGGCAAGAGGGCGAGCTCGAAGGAGAGGAAGATAGAAACGCAGTACGAGAGATCGGTGTCCAATGGGGGATTTCAAATCGAGGGTTATATAGGCGATGGCATCGTTGAGGAAGAGCTATAAATAGAGAAAGAGAGAGAGAAACGATGCGTGGAGGGAATCTTTTCTTTCGTTGTTCGCACACGAATTTTGTGCGGTGGGCTGATCCACCGTTCATTTTATCAATCTAATGGATCATGGCCGTCCGAGCTCCGCGCTGCGATCATGCGTGGCTCTTGGTCGCATGACTGCGACTCCGAGTCGGCCCAGGTCGACTCTGCAGCAGTGCGGCAAACTCGGACGAGTAGGTCGACTCGACTCGGGCAAACTCTGTGTTAGTCCATTGTGGACAACAAAGCTTACCACAAGTCAAACTGGGTTTAGACATCTGCAACGAGTTCTCTATAACGGCTTTGGTGGCCGCATGGTTTCCATAGGAATCGTCGTCTTATTGTATGCAAAATGCTTTGAATGAATATAACTTTGTCATCGGTCCGTCCAACTCCGATCACCACTGCGCATGCCCACCGTTCTGGTGGCGCTGCGCGGTGATGACGATGGCAACGACCCGTCCCGCCTCAAGCAGACCCACACCGTCGACGCCATCCTTCGTCGGGACGCCGTCCCCCCCCGCGCTCCGCACCATTGCCACGTCTCCGGCACGGCCATATGACATCCCACCCGCCGCGGAAGTGGCGCGGGGCTGTCCCGCCGTCCGTGCGCTCCGGGTTCGAGCAAGAGGCCGCGGACTCCTTGCTCCTGCTATCGGGCTTGGGGATAGCGCAGCAGAGGATAGTACATCTGCGACGGGTGCAAACAAGAGTTCGACACCCGGCAAGCACTCGGCGGCCACCGTGCAAACCACAGGAACCGGAAAGGCTGCTACGCGAGAGCCAAGGAAGTACGAAGGAACAGCTCCAAGAGGAAAGCACAACAGCGGGGAGGCACCAACGGCGTCAGGAGGAGCGATCGAGGGGATTTCGAGAAGAAGTAAAAGGAGGCGGCGGGAGCGTCCGGTGGATTTGAATTTGCCCCCACTGTCATCGTCCGACACCGACAGCGCGAGCTCGTCTTCTGCTGGCAACAGTACTCCTTAGTCACCGTAATGGTTGCCGGTAATGAGCCTAACTTCTATTCCTTTGGGTTCCGATCCACAGGATATCTCCTCGTAATATCTCTTGATTGCACAAACTACACATTAACCATTGGGATATCTCCTCATAAGATCTCTTGATTGCACAAACTACACATTAAACATTGGGATATCTCCTCAGAATTGGTTTAGCTTTGGTATTCCAATCCACAATATAAGCATTCAACTATACTTTTCATTTCATCGTGAACTTATCATAACACATGTATGATCAATTTATTTCTATACAAAAGCATAAAATTAATTTATTGCTATGCGATAACACATGTTATCGTATATATTCTTAACAGAGATTAATGGCCCTGATATGATATGTACAATCTCTTCGCATAGCATTATAGGCATCTTGGTTATGACAATCAACTATCATCATCGATCGATCACCTTGGTCCAGAAAGCTCAATAGCTTGTGCCAGTAATGAGGAGTCATCGGTGATGTTGGAGGAGTAACGTGTCGAGAAGGTCTCGGGCACCGTAAGCTTATGAGCCTCCATCCTCTGAGAGGCCTCCCATCTCTCTACGAGACCATCACCTTCGAGCATGCTAACCACCTCAGACATCTTTGGCCTGTGGCCTGGAACGTGCTGCGTGCACAGGAGTGCCACTTGGATGATCTCTTCCAGCTCAACCCGGTCGTAGTCGCTCTTCAGATTCTTGTCAACCAGCATGTCAAGTTTCTTTTCTTGGTGAATCTTCCTAACCTGTAAGGAACCACAACTCATTCATCTAGATACTAAATTCTGAAGAACTTCATTATGAATGAATTGTAGAGTATGCGAGCGAATGAGAAGGATGTTTTATGCTTTGATGCCTCTGGGATATGATAATGCAAGAAAAAAGGCATTCAAATGGTTCGTATCGTGCATACCCGATCGAGCATGGCACCTTTCTGGTTTGCTGCCTTACCAAATTCTACGGCTCCCAAACCAGTAATCAGTTCGAGGAGGAGGATTCCAAAACCAAATACATCTGTTTTCTCAGAGGACTGGCCCGTCGAGAGATACTCTGGTGCTATGTGTCCCACGGTTCCCCGCACAGCTGTAGTTACATGTGAATCCCTGTGATCAAGAAGCTTTGCTAGTCCAAAGTCTCCCACGACAGCCTTGCAGTGGTCATCCAGCAGTATATTGGCAGCTTTTACATCTCTGTGAATGATCTTGGGATCACATTGCTCATGCAGATAAAGAAGGCCCCTTGCAGCTCCCAAAGCTATCTTTTTTCTGGTACTCCAGTCTATTGTTGGTTTTGCTGATCAACAATGAGGAAGAAGAGAGATTAAATGTTTATGCAATGTATAAAGACAACACAAATCATCTACATGGTAGAACATAAGTATAAGCATGTGAAGGCTTTATATTTGTCGATTCTATTCAGGGCATCAAATTTTTCTACCATGTTGATGCATGGTTATATCCAAGTGTGCCATTATTAACATTTGTAAAGCATAATTCAAAGGAGAGTCGTTTGATAGTTAGGAATTGGCATGATCTAAACCACATCTTTCATAAAAGGACCTATAAGTACATCATGATATAGTGCTTAATGCATCAGAATTTCAAGATTATCCAAGCATTTACCTTTGAGTCGGGAAGCAACACTTCCATTTGACATGTACGGATAAACAAGAAGCCTTTCTGTGGCAGTCATGGAAAGACCAAGTAACCTCAGGACGTTTCTGTGCACTGCTAAGCTGATCATTTCAACTTCAGTTTTGAATTGTTTCTCGCCACCTACAGCATTTCCATCCTTGAGCCTTTTGATGGCGACTAAAGTTCCATCTTGCAGCGTCCCTCGATAGACATTTCCAAAGCCACCATGGCCTAGTATGTTTTTGCTGCTGAAGTTATTTGTTGCTATCTGAAGCTCCCTGAAGTGAAACCTTCTTAGATTACCGAGGCAGAGTTCTTCATGTTGTAAGTCTGGAAAGTTGATATGTTGGTCACAAGGAGACACAAATGACTTCTTCATTCTTTTTAGGGGAAAGTAACAGTTTGATTTTATTTTTGCTCAAATTAACATGTAGCAAATGGATCATGTTTTCCGCTAAGAAGAACATGTTACAAATTTACTGTTCTCTTGCTTATCTTCTTACCGTTGACATCAAAGAATATCTGTTGGTCATGACTTTGCTTCCACCAGAGAAAAAGTCCACAGCCAAGACAAACTAAGCAGATGCTCCCAAAGGTGGATCCAAATGCAAGAATGACTTTGTAGCTTTTGGGCCTCACCAAAGCTGGAGCACCTTATGAAAAAGAGAATTATGATGAAGAACCAAAATTCAAATCAGTCAATGTAAAGAAGTACTAACAAGAGCAATGTTCAGTAGAAAAAAAAATTGAAATGGTGAATAAAATTCAAAATTAATTTATCAGAGTACCAAAAGGGAGACGAAACATCACTTACACATCTCACTTCCTTGTTTTTTTTTTTCCGAAGTATAAACATCATCCATTGACGTAACATCAAGATAGCCACTTCACATGTCCCAACACTAAAATACTTGTTTTAGAAGTGATAACACCGAGCCATGTACATAGCATTCCTGACTGAACAATAAGAAACTTGTTCCATGTTCCAATAACTCACTCAATTTATTTTAGGCAGCAAGATATCTGTCATGGACTTCACACAAGCTAAGAAATTTTGGCTAATTACTACTGATATCTTTGTACGTTATTGTTTTCCACTTAAGTTGCTTGTTTCAATATGGATGACTTCTAGGTGACTCACATATAGTCAAGCCGCTGCATGACCACGAAAGCAAATGTACTAAGGAGGCTAAGTAGCTGGAGCAATCAGAAAAATCACACCAGTAGCAAGACCTTGGTGACAGTCTTCTATTTCACACTTTGGTACCATTCGATTTAGTATTCACAGCATTTTATAGAATAATGTTAACCAATTTCTGCATGTTCTCCTAATGGTTTGATAATAAGGTCAAATTGTTACAAAACTAAATGAACTAGGATAACACTCACATGCACAAAAGGGAAGTAAAAGCGAATACAGAGGGAAATAGGTACATATGTCAAAATACAAATAAACAAAATGGAGGATTTTACATGAGAACGATCACATGGGAATTGAAGCAGAGACCTCTATCCTACAACATCAAGTGTCGTGTTGAGATTTTTGTCAGGCAACTTATTGTCGTATAAGCTTAAGCTTTTAGATAGAAACTACTTTCTCATCTGAGAAGGATTGCAAAATATTGCCATAGTCATGTGGAATTGTCATATAAGCTTAAATTTTCAGATAAAAACTATTTTCTCATCTGATAATGATTGCAAAATATTGCCATAGTCATGTGGAATTTAGCACTCAAGTCATCAACTATGCAGTCTTCATATTTGCCGAGAAATAATACGGAAGAAGATAGATAAGTTATGAACGATACTTTGTGAATTGTTCATGTCGAAGGACATTGGCATGGGCATCATTCCAAAGCATTTTTGCTTCAAAGCTGATGGACAAATTAAAGGATTTCCAACAATGCTGCAGAAACATAAAAGGAGACAGATAAGCATTCCATAACTCAAGAGAGACTCAAATAACAAAGGCTTTTTCTAAAAAAAGAAGCAGAAGCAGAAGCAGAACATGCTAAATCAGCAGAGAAAATCAAAAGATACTTTCATCTTAGATATTATATTGCCCAAATTTTTTGATAAACAAAGAAGATGAAAAAAAAAAGGCTATCAGTGACCATTGCCAACATGAACTGTGAAGAATTTTGAATCCCACCCTAAAGAAGTTAGTTGATCATTCCACCTTTTCTTTCAACACATAGCACCAACTGGCAGCTTCTTAATGGGCTGCATTAGAATTTGATGAACAACAGTGATATTGATGGTAAACTAGTTTGTCGAAATCCTAAATGGATAGAAGTTGAATATGAATAGGCTATTAGCCCAAAAACAGTAGATAAAGTTCAGGTGCAACAGAAATTGTCTTACTTGAACGTTTTCGCTGGAAGCTTAGGTATAGGGCCGCTGATATTATTGTAAGACAAGTCCCTGGAGCACGAAAAGCACAGCAGCCTCTTCAGTGACAAGCAATCAACCATAGAAACATCCTAATAAGAGCATGGTATCTGGAGGCCAACAAACTTACAGAAAAGCAAGTTGTGAAAGATTGACCAAAGATGCAGGAAATGCTCCAGTAAGGCTGTTATTATTAAGCCTCCTGTTCTCAACCCAAGCAAGTAAAATCAAACTATCAGTTGGTAATCAATAGCTCAAACTCAAAGAACTTAACATGGTTTTTGATGTTCACATCCGGCTTACATGTACTGAAGACCATTCAGATTGCCCACCGAGGCAGGGATTTTGCCGGAGAAGTAGTTGTTGGACAGATCAACGGTTTGAAGCTTGGAGAGCTTCCCAATTTCTGGCGGTACCGGTCCCGATAAGTTATTGTTCTGCAGGAACCTACACAAACAATCCTATAGAGTCAGGGTTCAATGTGAAAACGAAAACATATTTGGGCCACATCAATTGAAGTCTCTTAACTTACAGAATTTGAAGGTTTGTCAAGTTTCCTATGCTTGGATTGAGAGTACCAGAGAGATTCTGGCTTGGAGTTGCCCTGCAACAAATGTTCACAGGCTAAAATTTAGATATGCCTGTTCCTCTCTACATCCTCTGAAAGCAGATAGCTCCTAAAACAAGCATGCAAATCCAAGTACCATTCGCCACTAGGAGGAAAATATAGAGGAAGACCAAAGATGAAATCACAAGAACTACAATTGTAGTAAATAGTGAGCCACCTACAGGCCAATGACTGAGTTCTCAGGTGAGCATGTGACCATAGTCCAGCTGCATGGATCAACAGAGTCCTGGTCCCAATTCTCGAGAACACCATGAGGATCCACAAGATAAGCTTTTATACCCATCAAAACTTGCACTGTAACAGGATTTGCAACATGATGAAGAGGACAATTCAAATGGGCCATTCCCAAAATGAGAACTAAGAGAGAAACAGCGATGGCACCTTCAAAGTTGACACCTTTGGGGGAGAGTGTAGCAGTTACGATAGTCCAGAGGAAGAAGAAGGCCGACCAAAAGACCAGAGTGCTGCCCTTCCTTGGTCTCATCGAGCTCATTGTGTGCCAGTCTCCAAATAACAGATACTCGAGAGCAGGCACGGCAGGTGTTCAGCTTAAGGCTTGCAGCGATGGCTTGATGGAGTCAGGTGGTGAAATCATTCATGGGATTCCTCTTTCACACACCAGGCAGCCTCCTATTACCAATCCTCCTCTCTTGAGGCAGGAGACAGTAGACAAGTCTGTAGAATTTGCTGTCTTGATGGAATGAAAAGGAGAGTTTTTTAAGAGTGCAAGGAAGTGGGGAGCGCAGACATGCTCGCCAGATGCAGCAAGTTAGAAGTGAGATGAAGTGGTGGATTGTTATTCCGATGAAAACAAAGAATGCAAATATTTGGTGGGTCACTTGCTTGGGAGGTGTGTCTGGCACAAATTGATGACAGATTATGGAATGACAAGATGTTCATGTCTTTTGATGGCAGAGTTGCAGGACTACTTAAAAGCAGAGAGACAGAGAGAGAAGGGAACTTGTTCCCTTCCAGCAATTACAAGAGGAGGAGGAGGACAGCTAATGATGCTCCTCAAAGAATAACTATGTTAAAGATGGCCCTCAAAAGGGTCCATATGATGTACTCTAGTTTCCTAGACTCGCTGATGCATCCAACCTAAGCTTGATTAGATTCTTCCCATGAAGAACATATGTTTCCTGGTTTTCTCTGCTCGAGTTGTCACGAATTTGCCATCAAAATGGAATGGATGATTCAATGCATCCATCCACAAAGTCATTACCATTACCAATGGCATATGAGAAATGAAGAGAAAACATTAAATCTCCGTCGGAGTAAGGAGAGTGTGGGAGGAAGCAAGAAACGGACAAGGTGAAAAGGAAGGCGGAAGGCGGTGGTGGGGAAACTTAGAATCCAACATTCCCTGGGTTTGGCTAGCCATCATTCCGTTTGAGAAGGGACCAGTGAGGCATGGTTGGCATCTGGAGATGCGTGTGTGGGGGAAGGGGAACATATCTTTGTTGCCCCTTCTTCTTCCTTCACTGCAATGCTAATTAATATTTTGTGTTCTTCATGCGGGTGTGGTGTGAAGAGTGCTTTTACTGATTCCCTCCCTCAGCCATGCCACCCCTGTTTTGTCACCACGATCACAATCGAAGCACCGCAGGAGAAGTCGTCGGCAAGAATGCAGAGTTCGCAGCTGCAGAACCCTCGTCACGGGTGCACCAAAAGCTGCCGTCGTCGGCCGTGAGTGGTGTTCTCGCACGGTGTTTTCATACGCGTGTGGTTTACGGGCATGTGATCTCTTCTATTCGTAACCCTCACGGGTGCACATCCGACGCTCCAAATGCTGCCAACGCACCACGCGGTCGACACCGAGTTTTATTTTTCTTTATTATTCCCCCATATTTCATAATTACCAAAAAAAAAATCCCGAATGTTCGAGAATGATCTAAAAAGTCACACATAATAGCAGAAAACAAAATATAATTTAAAAATGTTGGACAACAATGACAAAAAAAAAACGACATTAAAGGTTTTAAAGAATAACACAAGTCCCAAATTTTCAAGAACGATGAGAAATCGTTACAAAATATAATAACAAAAAAATCCCCTATGATAAGAGACTGTACATTTCGTTAAAATTTCATATTTTCTCTTCAAAGTCAAATCAAGGAGAGAGAGAAAGAGTAGGATAGCAAAAGAGAAGTCTTTTAGGTCAAAAATGCAAATGAATTTATTTTTAAAACCCATTTTTGAAGCAGGCATGGAGATATTTTTATTTTGTGTTATTATGTTTTTTTCAAAACCCAAAAACATAAAAACAAGTGTATTCACAATTTCAAACTACAAAACAACATTAAAAAAAAACCTTCATAAATTTCAAAGTTTACACCAAAAAAAGAACTACTAGAATATCTTGATGATGGAATGTTGTTTCAGAGAAAAGGAAGGAAGAAAAGCAAATAAAGAATAATCCTTAGTCATTAAAAACACTAGAGGTGGATGAAAAAGGTAGAGACAAAGTCAGTGGAGGTGGGTAATAGAACCCATCATAGGATCCAAATTGGAAGAATAGGAGCAATCATCCAATGGTTATCCCTGGGGGTGTCCTTTGTGAGCTATATATTATATGTGACATGTCTCTTCCATGTGAACATGCAATGCAAGTCCAAAAGACATGAATTCCTTCTCTCCTAACCCTAGCCACTTGCTCTTGTTTCAAGGAATATATACCCCTAGTCATAGCATGACCTCACAAGCAACACAATATTAATTAAGAAATAGTTAATTCAAAAGAAGGATCTTCATTTACTGCTGACTTGCTGCACATCTTGCTCAAAAGTTACCACAAGGTTTAATGGCCAAAGAAGTGTACCTTTGACGACGGCCATGGCTGGTATGCAAGCAGGGAATCCCCTCTTGAACTGTGTCTTCTTGAAGAGTGCAACACATGCCTGTAATAGAAGGGTGGAAGTAACTCTAGAGACAACTGAGTTCAAATGATCAAAAGCTTGCTCTCCTCCATGAATGGAAGGCAGTCCCTAAAATATCCATACACTTCCATCCATATTAGGAAAACACTTTTGTGTGAGAATATTTAAGAGAAGACTAAAAATGTAATCATTTTAGTAAATTTTCATGACATATGTTGAGTTTGTTCTACAAGTTAAAAGTCTCAAATCTTTGGATTCCATTGGTATCCAATCCCATAGATTTTAGTCCCGACTAGTTTAATTCGAACTTGTCTAATTAGAATTATTAGCATGGTAACAGGTGAACAGAAAGTGAGTCATAAAAGAAAAAAGAGAACACGAAGAGCTAGATAAATTCAGTTGACTAAAGTCCACTTACCTGAGTAACCTAGATGAGTACACTGGTGGGTGGAAAATATTGCTGAATACAGGCAATCACATCTGAGTGGATTCTGTTCAGATCATACCTTCACTAGTCTCCACAGATCATGTTCATCAGCTTCATTCCATGTTACAGTCATTGGCCCTTCAACCAGACACTGCCTTTACTGCAATTTGTTCAATTATGCACAGCAACTTTCATCAGCATCTTGGCATGTCAAAGGTGAAGATTTGTTGCTGGTTGTGTGAAGATTATAGGAGTCTGTCATGGTAGATAAGAGCTACCTGTGGTTTGCGTTCTCCCCTTGCTTTGACTGGAAAGAACAAAAGTCTATTAAACAGGATAAGGATCAAATTTTATCAGATGTTAATGTAATAAGATGTGTCACCAGAGAAGATACAAACCTATCTTAATTCTGTACATTTTGAAATAACCAGATGTCCCTGAAGCATTGCTAACTAGGGCAATGTTGTTGCCTTCATCAAGTTAAATGGTAAAAGCCAGAGAAACATTGTTAAAAAAAAATATCTGTAATACACTAGAGCATGCATACATTAAAAGCAGGAAGCAATCGACATCTAATAACAAGCCAGAAGTTCATGAAGAACTTCCAAACAAACAGATGTGTATATTTATGTCTTCAAAATCATGGGCAACACATTGTAGCCACTTCCGTTCAATGTGGCAGGATCCAAAACAAAAAGGGTAAGATTTTGATGATTAAGATCCATCATAGGGGTATTTACCGTGTGAGCCAAAAAAACTGCTCCGTAGGTCAATTTCAATTTATCTATGTACGGTGTTTCCGTCACAAGGTGCCTCAATCCATATGGTGCTTCTTATGTTGATAAATAGGCAGGTGGAGTCTGCCCAGATCCATATGTTGCTTGTTGTGTTGAACTATGGAGTGGTGAAGCTGCTGCTGCTCCATAAGATGTCGCATTTGTTAATCCATAGGAAGCAGCAGCGTTCCACATGACTACCTTAGGTGCATCATATCCAGAAGCCACGGAGGCCTCATAACCAGTGCCTCTAGGTCCATCATAGCTGCTACCTCCAGCAGCATTATAGGCTGAACTCTTGGAGAACTGAAACTAGATCCTTTAGAAGCATCATATGCATGGCCTCTTGGGGCATCATGTAGATCCCGTGCAGCCACAGATCCAGCTGCAGCTCTACCATACCAAACTGCACCAACAGAAGGACCATGCTCCTGCATTCCAACTAGGAGGTGACCGACAAAGAAATAGATAGAACAACGGAAGTGGGAGAGACTACATTACAGAGAATAAGAGTAAGAAAAACAAAATGTACAGTCTGTAAAGCTAGAATTAAAATTGAAATCTAATGAACATTGACTAGACAACATCTCTTCTTTTCAGTCAAAAGGCAACGGCAAAAAGCAAGGTTCCATAACAGTCACTAACTGAACAAGCAGTGCAGGCAAAAGAGACAGCTAGCCCAAAGATAAGCTTATCGAAAACTGACAATACTTTATGGAGAATAGCACATGTTCAAGCTTTCATATTAAAATATAGGCACATAAATTGGATAAAAGTTACAACAGAAGCAGAATCACTTCAATTGTACCTGAGAATTTTTATGAAATGATAAAAAAGCTTGCAATTTCATGTTGCCAATTAGCCAGTTTCTCAAAGTAAAACAGAGCAGATCAATCAAAATAACAATCTTAAACCATAGAAATAGTATAAAAAAAAACATACAGGATGATTGGATTAGGAAACCAAGCTAGAACAATGTTTACCTGAGAGACTCCATAACCATCTTCATAAGCATTTTATCCTACAGGATGGTGTCCAAATGCATCGTTTTCCTTGTAAGCCCAAGCATTTGCTCCAAATTGCCCACCTAACATATTAAATGTCATAGAAATATTCGGGTTGTTCAATAGAAAAGATTCTCAATCTTTTAAACACCAATTATCTAGAAGGCATGAAGATCAGAAAATGTGTACTTAAAGGCAACCATACCACTTCTGACAAGGTTAGTAGATTTTCTCAATCAAGCACATAATTTTTCTACTTCTCTTACCATGGAGACATAGTTCTCCATTACTTGAAGTGACTCATAATGATCCATGTGCAGTTTCCTCTCAGAATCATATGTGGCTCTACAAATTAAAAGAAATGAAGCTTATGCATTTTCAGTAGATAACAAGTTGAGACGTGCTTGAATATAAAACTGAAGAGAGATTTATGACCTGCAATCCTGATATTCTTGTCAATGACCTCAAGTTCCGACATCAATGATGGGATTTGCTGGACATTACCATGGCTCCTCTGCAAATCCTCAGTCAGCTGTTGTACTCTGGAAATTAGCTCCCGTCTTGCTACTACCAAGCTCTAAGCTTCTGCATGAACCTGCTGCAAATCTACACTAACAGGTTCAGAAGCTTTCAAGTCAGCTTCCATCTTTGAAATATTATCCAAGAGCATTCTTAATTGTTGCTCTTGATCACTCTAATGGTACCCATGTCAGTCTGCAATCTCCGCAACTCCTGTTGTGCAGCAGATAATTCCTTCCTCAAAGAATAATGGGTAGCTGCAAAACTTTCGTTCTCTGATGCAAGTCTTTGCATTTCCACATCATGTGCAGCAAGCTTCTGCTCCATAATTTCCGGAGGTGGCAAC